TACCCGGCAACACAAGCAGGTATTGTGCAGACAGTTCTTGACAATACGAAGAGCGTCCAAGAAGTGGCTGCTAGCGTGACGTGAGGCTTGCGCGGCCCAATGTACATTGGCCCATATTTGAAAGATTAGTAAAGATGGGTCGCTTGCAAGTAGAGGAGCCAAGGCTGGCAGAGTATCTCATTCACAGGCTCAGTACTTCTCTGTCGTATGGGACCTTTCGGCATAATGCGATGTCCTGCCGCGCTCAATACTATCTTGATGCATTCTTGCAAGTAATCACTTCCTCTTTACTAAACACCCGCCTATCCCTAGTATTCCATGCATCTTCAAGCTTCCAACGCATGAAGGCCACCCGTGGGCAAATTCAATGCCAACGGAGGAAACAAAGGGAAATTCCTCTTTAGACACGAAATCAAATCCAGGACTTGTGGGTAAGGTAGGGTGGGTCCTCGCAAAGATCCCAAGACCAAGACCTCTACGTCAAAGGAAAAGGGTATGACCCTTTCACTTGGAGGAATGCCTCACAAAACAGGAAGACCGAATCCTTCCTCCCTCCTGCCAGAACGATTTAGGTTCCTCTCTCAGGAATCCTTTTAGGGGACTGCTATTCTGATAGGAACCAGAAATCCTGCGCAAGACTTCAAGCTTCCTACGCTGAGATTCTTCTTTGCACAAGAACATGCAATCCAGAATTATTCTCCTGGGAAGGGGAATGATCCCTACTCCTAATGTAGGTGCAGATTCCATATCCTTCTTCCCAGGGGAGAAACGATACTGTTCTTGGAGGGAGTCTTTTGTAGAGGATCCTCCGTCTTGGATGAAGAACTCAGGATCCGTTGGAGAAAGGGATCCTCCCTCGTGGAGGGATTCATGTCTCACTAAGGGGAGTGAACGCTCTGCTCTCTGTAGAAAAAGCTCAGGAAAAAGCTCAGATGGCTTGATTTGAGGACCCTCTTTATTGCAAAAGAAAGAACCCTCCTGCAAGTGAGCATTACCTCCTTCTGCCGAGAGAGGAATCCCTCCACAAGGGACGATCCCTTCCTCCCCCTAGAGATCTTGAAGGCTCTCAGCGAGGAGATTGCTCTCTAACTGCATTCAGGAAGGACCCTGAATTTTTTTTGCAGGACAAAAGGAATGATTTCTTCTTTGTGTTTAGAAGGATTCCTGGAGGAAGATGCCCTCCACCTTCGAGATCTTGAGTTCTTCATCCAGAAGGGAGAGTCCCCTCTCTCAAGACTGGAATTCTGGATCTTCTTTCAAGAGAGTCCCTATCCAAATAGGAAACACGCGGTGGGGATAGAGCTTGAGTTCTTCGTCCAGGAGGATCGCCTCGGCCTTTCAGAAAGGGATTCTGAGAGCTAGAAAAGTATCACCCCTCATACAAAAGTTTCGTCTGATGGGAGGAAAGGATCTCCTATCTTTGCCATTGGGAGTCTTTTCTTCCTTTTTCAACTATTTCTTGAAGTCTTATCGGCCGCGCGCGCGAGCAAAAGGTCTCAGGTTCCTTTCTGCTGGAAAACTCAACTGCCATCATTGGGGAGGACCCACTTGATTACAGGAAGCGCCCAATATCTTTTTCCCCAAGGCACGCAGGAACCTTCAATAGGAATTTCTCGCTTATGCAAGAGGAAGCAAGGACCGTCACGTTCCTGGTAAGGCAAGGAGGCAGGGTTCTTTATTTGTGGAAGAACTCCCAAGAAGCTAAGATATTTGAAACGGGAAACAACAAGGTCTTGTAGGGACTCCTGCTTAGATCGGAAGAGGAAATCTTTCCTCCTGCAGCTCCTGTTTCGGGAGAAGGACATCCTTGCAAGCAGGATCCAAGAATCAGTTCTTGGAGAAGGGAGGGATCTTGCCTCCTGGCAAGGCGATCCTTACTCACCAAATTAAAGCAGTTCATGGTTCCTGTTTCAGAGAGGGCCAGGTCATCAGTTCCAAAGGAAGATGCCCCAGACTTCTTTCTAAGGCGGTAGGCGCAGAAAGAAATGCAGACCTCCAGTCTTGGGAGCGGGAGATCCTCTGTCTCAGAGAATATAACCCAAGGTGCCTTCGTAACCAGGAGGAAGGAAATCTCTGGCTTGACAGGCCACGGGATGTTCATTCAAGGGGGGAAACGAAATCCTTGCTGCTGGAAGGACCATATTAGGGGGGAAGCAGAACTCGTTCTTTTTGCAGAAGGTTCTCTGGATTTCTGCTTGGGGAGCGCGGGAGACACTCTCTCTTGTTGGTACATTTCAAGACAGCTCCCTGAAGGTTTTAAGGAATCCTCTATTGACGACAGATCTGTCGGCTTTCCTGTAGGAAAGAATAAGAATCCCTCTCTTGACAGGGGAGGACCCTCACAGGATGAAGAACCCAAGATGTCCGTCTATAAGGAGCACGGTGATCATCACTGCTAGAAAGATTATTATCTAGCTAGGAAGAAAGAGGTCCCGATTGTGCTGATGATGCTCGTGTACGCACCGTGCACGAGCATCATCAGCACAATTGGGACCCAATTTTGGGTTGTTTGCGCTTGAACTAGAGAGAACAAGACCTTAACTCGCATCCCAGGAAACAAGAACATGCTTTTGTTCATAAATTTCTCCGGATCAGGAGCATCAGCAGGCCTCGGGTGGGCTGGTTCTCACATAATCGCCGGGTGGGCGGAGAAGCGGGCACTTGCCGCCAGGCCCGATTCTTTGTTTTCGGCTATTCTGGTATGTAGTTAGTGCAGGTCGAAAGCTTTTAGTTGGTGTTTGGTCTTTTAGGCGTTTGAACTGTTGAAGGGTTGCTCAAAAAGCGAACAAACTGATTGGAAGGACCAGGAGAGCCAATGAAACATAACATAATGAAAGGAACAAGTGAAAAAATGACGCGGCATTCTGGGTTGATTTAACTATTGTTGCTGGTTCGAGGGAGTCGTTTTTTGTTATGTTCGGCTTTTGTGGTCTTGAAATGGTTTTTAAGTAGCTGCTGTTCTTGCCTCTCATGTTGTTTACTTGGAGGCTTGGAGCTTACTTCGCGTTAAAACAAAAGCAAAATGTTTGAAAAAAAACATATCACATGAAGTTAACCCCTGCGCAAATTAAAAGAGCATGGTTCAGTAACACAAAAATGTAATACAAACCAATTGCAGACCAGGCCCTTCCATCTTTCAAGGCATGGTGCCCACAACCCTTTCTCTCCTGTTTGCCAAGGACGAGAAGCTGGCATTTCCTTGCTTGCACCTGTAGCCACATTTACGAAGTTGAGCGACGAGCTTGTCCGTTTCTTTCTGAAGGTGTTTCTGATCACATCTCCAAAGGGTGATATCATCCATGAAACCTCCAGCACAAGCTTTACACTCCGGAATAGCATATCCACCATGAAAGTGATCGTCCTCGATAATATCCTCAATCAAACGGCTAGAAAGGACTGGTGACTCAGGCGTTCCCTGCCGGACCCCACGAGTAGCACCTATTCGGGATTGTGCCCATGGTAGCAAAATGTGTCCAAAGCCCGCCCTGAGAAGCCTCACTAGCGCAGACCCTTCAGCTTTTTTGTCCGCGGCCCAGGTAACATCGAATGCTTTCGCCAGGCATAGTGCTTGTTTCCGCCTGGGACCCAAAGCCAATTATCGAGGCAGCCCTCCACTCCAGCTTGTTTGCTGCTTTTCAGTGTATTCTCCTTCATCTCGCTGGCGTGGCCACAGGGCTCCCAACCTCCAAAAATGAAGGCAAGCGGCCTGCGGTCATGAGAGCGTATCCCTTCTCGTCCATTTCCAGCATCCCCATCGCGCTCCTTCAACTGTCGGATATCTGCAGTGTTGGCCTGGAGTTGCCTCTCCAACTCCTCCCGGAGGTCTGCGTCCTGGCCTCAGACTCCTGCATCGCTTCCAGAACGATCTGCCTCTTACTCTGAAGAATAGTCGCTGTCTGCTGATCCAGCAGACCCGCCAGAACACTGGCCTCCATGGCTCAAGCGGAGTTTGGGGACTTAGGAAATGGGTTCCGTAGCGGTGTGGTTTAGGGTTTTGGATTTAGGGTTGTGGGACGAGGGTTTGGGTTTAGGGTTTGAGGTATGATTTAAGCTAAGTGCACGAGTCGCTTTTTGTGCGTTGGCCTTTGAGAAAGCGCGGTGTAATTGGCGCGTATGCCACAACAATGGCACCCCTAGATTGACACACCATGCCCGATCCCTGACAAATGTTTTGTCAGCTGGTTTCAGTCAACACTGCTTGGGGGTTGCGAGGCTCCGCCGGACTAGATTCCAAGATGTACGGCTGAGTCGCCTGTGCTTAAGTAAGCAAGAACTCAACGCAGCCCCATTTGCAAAACGTGGACGAAGATCAGAACACGCAGCCTCTTGCAACCCTTTGACCGATCTGTTTTGCAATGTGTCTGCATTACGAGATAGCTGCTATTTGCGATATGCCTATTCTTCCAAGAAGCACAAATTCTGGAATTTGAAACATTCCGCACGTTCCAAGAGCTCCCAATGCTGTAATTTACAACATGCGTAGCCTTTCAAGA